CCCCCCCCTCGCCAGGCAATATCGATCGCCGGGCGGTCACATCTCGCTACGCGCTCGAATTGGACAGTGGGCAGGGCAAAGACGACGATTTTCGATAATTTTTTTCTCGTTAACTATTGCGAAAATTGCAAAATGTTTCAGGATTTTTCTGTTCATCTCGATCCGTTCTACCTTCTCACGAGCTCGTGGACAAATGTTATAACTCACCCTGTATTGTGCATATCCTTATACTTTTTTATAATGGATCAAGCCTGCGAGCTTGAAAGTATAGGATTTGAAAATTGGATTCCTATTTTCAAAGGTAAGTAACACTCAAAATAAAACATTTTGAGGTTAGAATTTATCCCTGCAGCATGTTTTCAGTATACTAACAGTAAATCAAAATTTGCGAAAGTTTTTTTAAAGATTTTCTTAACATCAGATTAAGATAGGAAAACATATAGTGTATACATATATATATACAGGGTGGGGTGTTTACCTTACCCTGTATATATATATATATATATATATATATAACTGTGATTGTAGCAAGTGTATCTAAGCATAATTATTTACAGTTGTAACATCCATAAAGCAGTTACCCTCACTAAGGTTGAAGCAACGCATAGGTCATTTCCAAAGTACTGTGGTTCTCACAACCCTTTTGTATTGATGGGCGGAAATTAACAGTTTTTTATTGTTGTGATATCCATAACTTTTTCTCCGTGTAGTTATCTTTATGCAATGATTATGTGTATGATTGATATGACTTTGTTACTTGTTGTATCAACTACATCAATGTAGTTTTGTACATGATCTGGTTGTGACAACCAGACTTTGGTTGGAGCATTATTTACTGTGGATATGATAATCTATCCACATTGTATCCACATCAGGATACGTATTGCAAAGGTTAAGGCAACCAGGTATCGTCACTGCTGCAACAATGTCATTTAACAATTGCTCTGTGGTTATAACAACCAGATAATTAGTTGTTCCATATTTTACTATTTAATCTGGTTGACACAACCAGAATTCTGTTTGTGACAACTATATTGTTTTTTCTGTGTACACTGAGAAAAAGTCTTTGAAAATTTATTTGTAGCATATAATGTTTACTTCAGTGAAAGAAGCATTATATGCCTTAAATAATGTTTATTTTAGTGAAATAAACATTATATGCCACAAATAAATTTTCAAAGACTTTTTTCTCAGTGTACGGTAGCGAAATTTGTCTTTTCAGGGCATTATATGTAAAGGTATTAAATGACCACTTATGATTTAATAATCGCGATACAATAATCGCGGACGACGACGACGGGCCCGGGGCGGCCATACGCTCCGAAGTGACACGCACACGCCTTCGGGCACGTTATCGTCTCTCCCCTCTAACCCGTGCAACAATCCGGGAGCTCGATTCCTGATTTCCAAGAAACGTAATGCGAAAATTCGGCCCTCGCGGAAAAGCTGGAAGTCGACCGATTAAAAGCCACGGCCGATCGGCTCGCAACTTTTCTGCGTAAGAGCGCAATTTTCGCGTGCGTTTCTCCTCGACGAGCGAATTCGAGAATCGAGTCCCCGACTCGCGGACTCCTACGCTCGCCGCCCGGCACGGCGACGCCGCTTCGGAGCGGAAGGTTGTTTCTCGCGGGGAAAGAGCTCGGTACCATTTGAAAAAAAAAACAAAAAAGAGCGAACGCAGGGACGACGGAGACGAGAGAGACGGTCGCTCCGCTCCTCGCCTGGCCGAATTGGAGGTTAACCTGTCACTCGATAGCGGATCGATTTTACGGCGCGGGCGACAGAACGGCAGCGGGAGGGGGAGGGGAGGAGGCGGACCGCGCCGTCCGCGTCGCGCGGAGGCGATATTATGTAATTTCTGGCACTCACCTGGTTCGCAGAGCCGTGCGGACGTACCGCGGGTGACTGGTGCGGCTCCCGATGCGGGCGTCCCGTCCGTCCGTCCGTGGAAAACGGAGACAGCGGCGGCGGAAAGCGACGGTGATTACGGAGAGCGAGCGAGCGAGCGAGAGAGAGAGAGAGAGAGAGAGAGAGAGAGAGAGAGAGCGCGAGAGCGAGGGAGGACGTGCGGGAGAAGCGGCGAGGTCACATACACACGTATGTACACACGCCGTGGCGGCCGCCGATGCGATTTCGGCAGCGGCGGCGGCGGCGGCGACGACGGCGACGGCGACTGCGGCGGCTGCACACTCCGCGTTACGCGAGATAAGAAAGACAGAGAGAGAGAGACACGCGGCGGAAACGCGCGAGCGAGAAGGAAAGACGGGGGAGAGGAACGTTAAACTTTATCACGAGAGCAGCATGACGTGCGGCGGGGCTGCAGGCGGCGCGCGACAACGGCGGGTGAGCGCGAGGACGGCGACGGCGACGACGGGTACACACGCGCGGCACCACCGACACTCGATGACGTCATACCACCGGCGGCAACATGGAGCCCGCCGACGTACAACGCGCGAACGACGCGCGACACCAACACCAACGGCGCCAAGTACACGCGACGACGGCGATCGCGACCGTTCGCTACTAGCCGGAGATCAGTGCCCGTGCGCCGCCTAACCTCGAAAAGCGTCGGTGCTCCGAGAGCGGAGAGTGCGCGAAAGAGAGAGAGAGAAGGAGAGCGTACGGTGGTGGCGAACCGCGGGCACACAGCGGACGGACGCGCCCCGTGCGCAGCGGCGACGAGACACAGACCCGAACTGAGACGAAGCCCCGGCCGAGCCGCGCCGAGCCGGCCCGAACGCGCCCGCGAACGCCGCGCGCTCCCATTGGTCGCGCGCCCCACCCCCTCCCGCCGTCAGTCGCGCGCCAGCGCGCCTTCGCCGCCGCGCGCGGCGAGCGGCGAGTCATTCCAAGTCATTCCGGCTCCGGCGGCGGCGCGACGCGGCTGTGGAGCGTGCACGGAGCAGCGATCGATCGGTGCGGTGTCGCCCTAACCTCTCCGCGGGCGTGCGCATTATCGACCGAACTTCTCTCCGATCGCTCTTCCGTTGGCGAACGGTAACCTCCGTCGGGCCTGGCGCGGTGCACGCGAGTTTTGAACGGACGCGGTTTTCGCGCCCGACCTGGCTACGAGCGAGCGGATTCGACGGTGAACCTCTCGTCCGGCATCGTCGCGTGTGCCCGCGTATCTCCAACGATCCATCGTCCGGCACCCTCGTCGACGCTGGGAGAAACGCCGCTCGCACGGACCAGGTACGGGAAATGACAAGCGCGAATTAAATCACGCGAGTGACGAGGTAACTTGGGCGAACTTTGAACGCGCGGCGCGTGCGCGCGTTCCAAGGTCGCCGCGCGATTTTCTAGTCGGTCTCGGCGCGCTACCTTGCGCGATCGATTTCTCTTCGGTAACTGGTATCGATGTTCAACGTTGATTGGCAAATGCCGTCAAAACGCGCGCGATTATTTTGAAGAAAGTGACGCCTCGCAAACTTCTTGGACAAGAGTCGGGTCTAAAGCCTTGTGTCCACGATCCAAGAACTGTGTCCAAGTTCTAGTTCCGAGAAACGC